TATATATATATTATATATATATATATAATATATATATATATATATATTATATATATATATATATATATATATATTTATTATCACACTGGCCGATTCCCACCAAGGCAGGGTGGCCCGAAAAAGTAAAACTTTCACCATCATTCACTCCATCACTGTCTTGCCAGTAGGGTGCTTTACACTACAGTTTTTAAACTGCAACATTAACACCCCTCCTTCAGAGTGCAGGCACTGTACTTCCCATCTCCAGGACTCAAGTCCGGCCTGCCGGTTTCCCTGAACCCCTTCATAAATGTTACTTTGCTCACACTCCAACAGCACGTCAAGTATTAAAAACCATTCGTCTCCATTCACTCCTATCAAACACGCTCACGCACGCCTGCTGGAAGTCCAAGCCCCTCGCACACAAAACCTCCTTTACCCCCTCCCTCCAACCTTTCCTAGGCCGACCCCTACCCCGCCTTCCTTCCACTACAGACTGATACACTCTTGAAGTCATTCTGTTTCGCTCCATTCTCTCTACATGTCCGAACCACCTCAACAATCCTTCCTCAGCCCTCTGGACAACAGTTTTGGTAATCCCGCAGCTCCTCCTAACTTCCAAACTACGAATTCTCTGCATTATATTCACACCACACATTGCCCTCAGACATGACATCTCCACTGCCTCCAGCCTTCTCCTCGCTGCAACATTCATCACCCATGCTTCACACCCATATAAGAGCGTTGGTAAAACTATACTCTCATACATTCCCCTCTTTATATATATATATATTATATATATATAAAATATATATATATATATATATATATATATATATATATATATATATATATATATATGTCGTGCCGAATAGGCAGAACTTGCGATCTTGGCTTAAATAGCAACGCTCATCTTGCCATATAGGACAAGTGAGAATTTGTGTATGCAATAATTTCGCCAAAATCATTCTGAACCTAACGAAAAAAATATATTTCACTGTGTTTGTTTAGTATTAAATTATTGTAAACAAATCTAAAATATATTTAGTTGGGTTAGGCTAAAATAAATTGTTCTTGTTATAATAAGGTTAGGTAAGTTTTCTAAGATTCTTTTGTTGCAAAATTAAATTTTTTTTCATTAACATTAATGAAAAAAATATATCTTTAAACGTATAAGAAAAAATTTCAGAAAGGACTTAATTTTAAATGAGTTCTTGCTAATTGACCAGTTTTACATATTCGGCACGACTTATATATATAAAAATATTATTATAATAATATATATATAATATATATTTTAAAATATATATAATATATAATATAAAATTTTATTAATATAAAAAATCACAAAAACAGGTGATACCATAATATGCGAACAACCCCCGGGGATTAAAATGAACTTAGAACACTTTCGTGATTTCTCAATATAAAGGAACTGCTAAAAAACAAGATCGTAGAAGGCATAAAAGGGCAAAGATTACAATTTGGTCAACTTACAACAACTACGTTTTATGAAAAGGGGGGTCAGGGTGGTCAAATCCACACACGTTTATATTTTACCTAAGCTTTAAGTTTTTTAGTTTACGAATAATTTAATTTTTCCCAAATTTTTTTAATTTAAATGAATCTAACTTGCAAAATCCAAACAAATTATATTAATTCCAAACTATTTTTATGACACTTGATTCTATTATATTTCTCTTGATCATGGACTTGCTTGATACAAGTTTCTCAGCTTTTTGAAAGTCAGTTGGATGGTTAAAATCTCTCATATGAATAAACAGAGCATTAGACTCTTGTCCAGTTCTAATGCTGTATTTATGTTGTTGTAATTTCAGTTCAAGACTTTTCCCAGTTTGACCATAATAAACTTAACTTGCTCCACGTAAAATTGTCACACTATGGTATAAGAGGGCACTCCCTCAACTACCTCAAGTCATACCTCAGCAACAGAAGCCAATATGTGTACGCAAATGGGGCAAACTCTTCTGCACAACCAATTACAGTTGGTGTCCCACAGGGAAGTGTCCTTGGCCCTCTTCTCTTTCTCCTATACATAAATGACCTACCAAATGCTTCGCAATTACTCAAACCCACACTATTTGCTGATGACACAACATACGTCTTCTCCCACCCGAGCCCAGTCACGCTAGCCAATACTGTAAATACCGAATTACAGAAAATATCTACCGGATGAGTACTAACAAACTTACACTAAACATTGACAAAACCTACTTCATTCAGTTTGGTAACAGAGCTACAGATGTCCCTCTTAACATAATGATAAACGGATCACCTATCACAAAGCTAACAGAGGAAAATTTCTGGGAAATCCACCTTGATAATAGACCAAATTTCATACACATAAACAACAAATTTCTAAGAAAATTTCCAAGACTGTGGGCATACTATCGAAGATACGGTACTATGCTCCACAGTCAGCCCTCCTGGCCCTATATCACTCTCTTATTACCCCTATCTCACCTATGGAATTTGTGCATGGGGCTCAACAACAAGTAACCATCTCAGACCACTAATTACCCAACAAAAGGCTGCAGTTAGAATGATAACAAATTCTCACTACAGGCAGCACACTCCACCAATATTCAATACACTCAACCTACTCACCATACAAAACATCCATACTTATTACTGCACCTATTACATACATAGAACACTCAACTCTGATATTAACCCTCCCCTCAAACATCTCCTGCCTTCCAACCTCAACAGAACACATGACCATAACACAAGGCACAGATCACTCTTTGATATTCCTCGTGTCCATCTCACGCTATGCAAAAACTCAATGCACATAAAAGGCCCTAAAATCTGGAATTCATTACCTGTAAATATAAAAGAAACACTACCTGTTTATAAATTCAAGTCTCTTCTCAAAGATCACTTACTCACCCAAAACCAAATAAATACTGAATAACTGAACCTTATAAATTGTATATCTTAAATGTTTCTCACAATTATATCACAAAAAATGTTAAACCTAAAACCCAATCTAACTTTATTATTTTTTTAAATACACTACCTAACAGAATACTCCATTCTACTGAATTTACAACAATGCATGCAACCATATGACCTGTCTTTGTAATACTCACTTGTGCTTTATAGTAATCTGTTTACATTAATGTTTTTCACTGATTTCATCATTGCTTAGTTAATCTTAAGTTAATTTTAAGCCAGCCCGTAATGCTATGCATAGTATAAGTGGCTTTGGCATGCTGCTCTTATCTGTATTTTTTTGTACCTCTGTATGTGTGCTCAAATTATAAATAAATAAATAAATAAATAAATAAATAAATAAATCACATTTTTTTTAAAGGGAATCTTATAGACACAGCCTCTGGTGGCCTGGTGGTTAACGCTCTCGCTTCACACGGTGAGGGCCTGGGTTCGATTCCCAGCCAGAGTAGAAACATTGGACGTGTTTCTTTCCACCTGTTGTCTATGTTCCCCATCAGTAAAATGGGTACCTGGGTGTTAGTCGACTGGTGTGGGTCGCATCCTGGGACACTGACCTAAGGAGCCCTGGTCACAGACCGGGCCGCGGGGGCGTTGACCCCCGGAACTCTCTCCAGATAACTCCAGATAACAGCCGTCAGCGTTTTTTTGGGGAATTTTTAATAATTTTTTTTACTGTATGGAGTTTTCAAAATTCTTAAGAAGGTATATGAAGAAAGTTTTGATGGTAAAGGGAAACCAACATATTTTTAGTTGAACAAGACTGTTTGTCCTTTTTGGGATTCTAGAAAGTATTTCTTGGAAATTTAAAAAAATTATCAATTGAATGTTAAGGGTATTTTAAAACATAGCTATTTCGTAAATCTTCAAGATATCTTCATTTATAATCTTCAAAAATTACAAAAGCCTCCTATAACTTAGAAAAAATCTAATGATTTATCCAGTGATGAAATTAATATGACTAAAGGAATGGTTTATAGTCTATAATTTAACAAAATACTCCTAATTGCTTTCAAAGATTTTGTTAAATCTTATGAAAAATTTATTAATAATAAAAAATTGCATATTACCAAAGCATATACAATACATGTAATAGTAATTTTGAAAGAAACCAATTACCAAGGTAAATCAAATAATTGTTTAAGTGATACACAGATTTATTCCAAACTTAGAAAGTTTTCTTTAGATTCTGTTAACAGTAATTTTAATAAAACAATTGGTGGTAATGAATATTTTAATTAGTTCGTCTTTGCCTTTCAGTCGTTGTTTTATTATACCCGTAAGACACCCTTAAGCAGCTGTATCTAAATAGGCTTACTACTATAGTAGTATAGTAGTAGTAGAATAACAGTGGTATTAGTGGTAGTATTGGTTATATAATCAGTAGTAATAAGGCTATTTAGGTACAGCTGTATAAGGAGTGCTATACAAAATTGCAGGATTACAATCTGTCTTTATTTAATTATCACTGTTACAAACTGTTCTGTCTATACCTTCAACTTGTAAGTCTCCAACAGTAAATAACTTCCAGTCTTGACATGTTGTAATTTATGTCATGTGTCTCTCCATATTGTTAACTAAACTACAATCATTATAAAGTAAATTGAGGGGGGAGGGATGTGCCTCCTTCACTTGCTTCTTCAACTTTTTCATCTGTTCTTACAACAGTTTTCTACCCACAACTTTCTACTTCTTGCTGTACATCTTTCTTTTCTCTTTGAAACAAGTTTTTTTTTGTTTGTCCTTGAGAAGCTGAAACTCTTTCTTTGCAACTTTCAACATCACTCTCAAAACCAAAAGTTTCAAAGTACTTTAGATAAACTATGGTAAGAAAATAATAATGTTTCTCACACTACACAGGACTTGATGACAAACATTGAAAATTAAAAATAAAGACATGATAAGTAGAGAAATTAGGAAAGATATTTAAACCAGTAGAGTTCTTAATAATTACAATATATTTACATATTTACAAACTCAAGGCTGAGTTTGTAAATATGTTCACTTTCACTGATACAAAGAGGCAGTAACACCATCCTTACCCGCCACCGTAGGTATAAAATGTTTGATAAAAGGCTGTGGCTATTAAGGCAGGATCCCAGTTGGTGCCAGCCATGACATCATCAAAGTTGTGCGTGCGTCCAACACCAGATAGTAGATACCAATTGTGATGATCATGATGAGTGCCAATACCTTAGTCAGTGCCAGAATGTTCTGCACTCTGGTAGCCCATTTTACCTTCCTGGAGTTGATCCATGCTAACGTTACTGAGGACACACAATACACATTGAAAGTTGTCAAATTACACACGATTACAGTCGTTAGAAATATAGTTCTTAAAGTAGTAGACTCATTATGGTAAATTAAAACAAAGCTTAGAAGAAAGAAAACATGAATTTTGAATGTTATTAATATATCGTTTCAAATGAGTATCATTCTCTACATGTTTGTCTCTCATTTAATTACTCTCATAATTACCCTCTCATAATGAAAGGATTTTCTTCCCTCTTAAAAAAATTTCTTCAGTGAAAACACCTGCGCTTTGCCATCATTATATATTTTTGACTACTAATTTGCATGTCGCCTAATTAATGCAATTGCCATCTTTCTGACATTGTGATACTACAGGAGTTACTTCCTCTCCTGTTTCTCTTGTCTTGTTTAATAAATTAGTGAAAGTGACTGTTCTGTTTCTGATAGACTTAGTACTACATAAGTGTTCACCCATAAATGACAAATGTTTCACAGAAATGTATCTTCAGTAGAACATTAATATACAGAATCTTAACATAAATCTTCTTCTCCGTAGTTATCATTGCCTTTTCAGTATATTGGTAATAGTCAAGAATTGACCGAATGTCGTCTAATTTTCTCTCCGTTTGTGGATTAGCTGTGAATTTTTTTATAATAATGTTATTGAATCAACACTTTGATACTTGAGGGAGGACTTGATAAAATCATGAGAAGGAATGGTTTGGTTTAAGTTACATGCCTGGTAATGGGCCAAAGTGCTTTCTCATCTGAGTTTTGCATATGTACTTTTTATAAAATCTTATAAGTCTATATCACAAAAACTCAGTGTGCTTGTTACCAAATTGGTTCTTGACAGGCGTATTGTGTGGTTTGAGACTCAGATCTTTTCCTCCCTTTTTCAGGACCCTACTCTATCACATCACTGATTTCTTGGCTTTAGGTCTTATTATCTTACACACACACACACACACACACAACACACCACACACATCACTATTATTTAATTTATATACTATATATATATATATATATATATATATATAATATATATATTATATATATATATATAATATATATATATATATATATTATCTGATGCTGTGCTGTCCATTAGTCAACCTTCCTGAGACTAAACAATTCCATTCCAACATTGGGTCATCTCTTTTTCATCTTCCACGTATGTCACCTTGACTCTGTTGTCCTTATTAAATCAGTCTATCTCTATCTCGCCATTAATTTCTCTTAAGATTTTGTAAATCATAATATTGTTACTAATTCTTATCTTCTCCAATGTCGTTAGGTTCAGTTCCTCCATCCTTTACTTATAGAGCAACACTGTTCTGGGACAAATCTCTGTGCGAGGCAACACTGTTCTGGGACAAATCTCTGTGCAAGGATTCCAACATTGTCAACATTGTCAGTGATTGGCCTAATATGTTATATATAAAGCACTGAAGGAATATTTTGTTTAATTCCTGCAAATTGTTCCAAAGTTTGTTTGTGTTACATGTGCCATCTATAGGACAAGGTAGTAGTTGTGACATATACTCAAAATGACTGATTCAGAGTAACTGTTTTTGGGACAAATATTTTCTGAGTGATTACCTAATTCCTCACAATGACCCTCCACCCGCGTCACTCCCTCCTATCTAGAACCTGATATTCCCAAAACCCACCTTCACACTGAGTCCCTCCCCAAGCTTATTCCTGCGACTGACCTCCCTCCCTCACCCTCATCCACTCCCTCACCTTCACCCATTCCTTCACTCTTCACTTTTTCCATCACCTCTTCCTCACCCACTCCCTCACCTTCACCCACTCCCTCACCTTCACCCACTCCCTCACCTTCACCCACTCCCTCACCTTCACCCACTCCCTCACCTTCACCCACTCCTCACCTCACCCACTCCCTCACCCTCACCCACTCCCTCACCTTCATCCATTCCTCACCATTCACTTTGTCCATCATCTCTTCCTCACCCACTCCCTCACCTTCACCAACTTCCTCACCCTTCACTTTTCCATCACCTCTTCCACACCTAGTCCCTCACCTTCACCAACTTCCTCACCTTTCACTTTCTCCATCACCTCTTCCTCACCCACTTCCTCACCCTCGCCCACTCCCTTATCCTAGACTTTCTCCATCACGTCATTCTCACCCACTCCCTTACCCTTCACTTTCCCCATCACCTTCGACTCACTTCCCCACCTCCCTACACTTCACTTTCCCCATCACCTCACCTTCACCCACTCCCTCACCGTCACTTTCCCCATCACCTCACCTTCACCCGCACCTCCTGAATCACCTAATAATATTCAACCAATAAGGTAGATTTCTTAACACAATTAGGTTCGCATCAGTGGCGTATGATGGTTATTGTCACAGTGTGTGCACTGTGCACTCTTACCGTGATCAACCTACTACTGTCACAGTGTGTGCACTGTGCACTCTGTTACCGTGGTCAACCTATATGTCACAGTGTGTGCACTGTGCACTCTGTTACCGTGATCAAACCTACTACTGTCACAGTGTGTGCATGTGCACTCTGTTACCGTGATCAACCTACTATTGTCACAGTGTGTGCACTGTGCACTCTGTTACCGTGATCAACCTACTACTGTCACAGTGTGTGCACTGTGCACTCTGTTACCGTGATCAACCTACTAGTGTCACATGTGTGCACTGTGCACTCTGTTACCGTGATCAACCTACTACTGTCACAGTGTGTGCACTGTGCACTCTGTTACCGTGATCAACCTACTATTGTCACAGTGTGTGCACTGTGCACTCTGTTACCGTGATCAACCTACTATTGTCACAGTGTGTGCACTGTGCACTCTGTTACCGTGATCAACCTACTACTGTCACAGTGTGTGCACTGTGCACTCTGTTACCGTGATCAACCTACTATTGTCAGTGTGTGCACTGTGCACTCTGTTACCGTGATCAACCTACTATTGTCACAGTGTGTGCACTGTGCACTCTGTTACCGTGATCAACCTACTAGTGTCACAGATGGTGTCACTGTGCACTCTGTTACCGTGATCAACCTACTACTGTCACAGTGTGTGCACTGTGCACTCTGTTACCGTGATCAACCTACTACTGTCACAGTGTGTGCACTGTGCACTCTGTTACCGTGATCAACCTACTATTGTCACAGTGTTTGCAAATGCACCACTGTTACCGTGATCAACCTACTATGGTTAATGTCACAGTGTGTCACTGTGCACTCAGTTACCGTGATCAACCTAATTTGCACAAGTGTATGCAAAAAGTGCACTCTGTTTACCGTGATTCACCTACTATTGTCACAGTGTGCACTATGCACTCTGTTACCGTGATCAACCTATACTGTCCAGTGTGTGCACTGTGCACTCTAGTTCACGTGATCAACCTTACTTATTATGGCGTAAAGTATACTCAAAAATAACAACACAAACTTTAGACAGTGCTTTTCTATAAAAAAGCGGAATTGCAAATTGCAAACGATATAATTTCTGTATTCGCACAAGTAACCCGTATACTGAATTTCTTATAAATTGTGTAAATTCAAAAAAGATAGATTAATTTTTAATCTTATGATAATAAAAAATATAAAAGCCACCAGATACATTTTATGACTTAATTCACTTTGTACGTCGTTCTTTTAATTTGAGAGTAAACTGTATACTATGATTCCATCGTACAAGGCATACTTTTTTATGGTTATAAACTGTGACTATAATTTTATAAAGGATAACTGTTAAGCACAAGCACAGAAGGGCCTCGGTCAATGCCAAAAGCCCCAACGGTTTGGGTCATTTTAATCTGACCAAACCCGCGTCAGAACACTGTTCTGGTTTCCTGACAAACCTTACCTACGTCTTCATACAATACTAAGAATCTCTTGCTTCAGTAAACTTGTTTAAAAGAGAGTTTAAATGAGGTCCCTTATCTTTCCTTGTGCTAAATGGTTACCGTCGACTACCTGTAAAAAAGCTGATATTGTAACTGTCAACAGACAGACTTCGACCTGACTTATTTTGTTTGAAATGTATTATTAGATTTGAAATAAATTAGACCAGATATATCACGATCGCTGCAAGAACAGAATTATTTATGAAAATCAGTTTAGGTAATGAATTTTCATGAAATTATGTGCATACATCTTTTCACCACGGAAACGAACACAGGATGTGCTGGTGGAAGTCGCTCAACCCTTCGGCACTTATTTCTGTCACTTTCCCAAATTATCCGCATCACCCAGCGTCAATATCATGATACAAAACTGCTATGGGGGTAGTGAATGTGTATCTCAGAACACTTGCCACAATATTTCATAAAAACTACAAAAATTAGTTTCTGTTAAATCACGATTTAATATTGAGTGAAACTTAAATTTAGACGAATTACTAACTTCAGATGGATGTCAAAAGGCGCTCTCACCAAAGCACACCCGAAAATAAGCCCTTGGCCATCATGGATCCCACTGTAATAGAAAGCAGGTTTACTAATTTCCTTTACACTTGCACAAAAACCCTTTTACCTCTTACTCCAATTGGGTTTTATCTAGGCTGGAATGCTGGGACTCTTGGGACTTTCAAGGAGAAAAGGCTTTTGAAAGTTCAGGATTTCCGGGGCCCTCGGGAAAAACACCCCCCGGGGGTTTAGGTTTCAAAACCACCCCGGGAAGCAAAGGTCTGTATTCCCTGAAAATCCCAGAGGAAGTCCGAAAATTCACCCCGAAAATTCCCCCGAAAGAAAAGTTGGGGTCCCCCCAAAAGAAGGGCTTTAGGATGTAGTTAGCAAAGGTTAGTGCCCCGATGGCTCTCTTGCTTGGCACACTGACCATGACTAACTGCCACAGGTAGATGAATGCAGGTATGGGACCAAACGCCTCTTGTAAGTACATATAGCTTCCTCCGCTCTCCTGAATCATCATGGCTGAGAGAGAAAGTGCACGACATCAGCCAGGAAATTGCCAGGATGGAATGTTTTTTGGGACTAGTGAAATATTTTACGAGGA